ATTTGATAAATAGAATTAGAATTCTAAACAATATAGTAAATTGTTATTTCCTAATGTTTGCCTTTTTTTCATGATTTCCTTTTTCTCTAATTTCTTTTGTTTGATTTTTCTTTTGCTTGTTTTTTTATTTTTTTTATTTTCTTTGTTTTCCTTGATTCTTTTTTTATTTGATATTTTTTTTTTATAGAAAACGAATCTATTCCAACATTATCGTTGTGTTTGCTTGTTTATCTTGTCAGGTATGGTCACCTTAATTTAAATGAACCTTGGGATCATAACCACTTGCGTTTGAGCCTGTGCGTTCAAAGCCCTAAATCATTGAGAATTGGATGGAAAAGAAAAGCTAGTTTTCGCTTTGATTTGCTAAACGAATCCGGAAAAGTTCTCTATGCTGGAACTGGTAATAATGATCATCATATATCTATTCTTCTTCTTTTCTGGTTTAAATGCTTTCTTTTCCAGATGAATGTTTGACATTCCATATTTTGAAATACATTATATATACATGATTGATGAAGAAGACATGTTTTGGGCTTTGCAGAGAGAACAATCATATTTTGCGCTCAGATCCCATCATGGGGTAATCCGACATTGCCTCTAAGCAAGCTTAAAGAAGAAGGGTTTTTGGAGAATAACAAACTGATCATTAAAGTCCATGTAAAAGTCCTTGAAGTTGTTCATCAAGGAAAATCAACTGAGAATGAGATATTTGGAATCGGAGGATTCGAGGTTCCTTTTACTCAGGTATGTTAAGGAGGAGGCTTCCGCATTTCCCTTTCTACATTTTCCGGGTTAACCGAATCTTGTTGTCAAATAAAGTTTGATCTAAAACCTTTTCTTGTAATTGGCAGGTTTGTCATGTAAGCTGGCTTTTCGCCAAGCACCCGGACATTGCAGTAGATTTCAGACCAAAGGTCATAGGAGTGAAGACAGCATACATGAATCTTCTCATCGGTCTCATGCAGACACTGCGCAAGTCGCCCCAGAGCTTCACTGAGGCTGAGCTAAACAACGCTCAGAGCGAGTTGAACGAGCTAACAGAAGTGGGGTTCAAGCTGGATTGGTTAAAGATAAAGCTTGAAGAGGTTTCCTTGGAAAGGAAGAATGCACTTGCCGATGGTTCTCGGGTCCAAGAATTGGAGGAACGCATCAAGAATCTGGAGCTGACTTTGTCTGATCTCAAAGTTGAACTGAAAATTGAGAAGGCTAAATCTGCTGCTCCCGCTAAACTTCTGTCGTTTTGCGACATTCTTTGATTTCAAAACAAGTTTCCTTTTTTTTTTTGCCAAGTGTTTGATCGACAACTACGAAACCTAAACAAATTTTCCTTGCAACAAAAGTGTTTGATGTTAACGTTTAATCCAAGCTTGAACCCAAAATTTTCACCAAGTCGTCTGTTCATGGTTCCATTACACTTCCAATGGAAGACATTACTACATGTAAACTATCTTCACGGTTTCAAATGAGTTATCCGAGGTTAAGTAACAACTGTTATTACATTAAAAATTATAAATATTATTTTGATAGATTTGGTCTCTTAGTATATATTATTAACCTTCCTCCTCTAATTAAAAACAGAGGATTTACTCTGTTCCTGTTCCTCAAAGTACCAAAACCCTAACCTAAGCAGAGAGAGAGAAACACACGGAACATTTAGGATTACTAACGCAAAAAGACGAAAATACCCCCCTAATGATTATAACGGGCCAAGAAAAGGCCCAATTAAGCCCATACCTCCATAGAAAATTCTCGAAGACAGTGAATCACGGACTGAATCCCAGTCGGTGTGCTTCTCTTCTCCTCCGCTTTTGGGATTTGCCGATTTGCTCGGCCGAGCGGTTAAGTTAACGACTGCCTACGATAATCCTACCATGCTCCGACGTTTCTTCGAAGCTTCACTTACTTAAAAGCTTTCTCTCTGTTCCTTCGTCGGCGTCGGAGAGATCCTTTCACTGAAAGGAGGGATTTTTTTCTTTTCTGAGTTACGCCAATGGCTAACAAATCACTGAATCGTCTTCTATGGAAATTCCGTAAGCTCTAATTCACCCTTTACTTCTGGAAATGTAGTGTTGAACACTGAGAAATCAATGTGATATCAGTAGTCAATGATTCATTGTTTATGGTTTCTCTAATGGTTTGGTAATCTCGAAGATTTAATATGGTTGTATATATAAAGTTTTGAAATTTAGTAAAGATTATTGAGAAATATGAGTTTTTGCTTTGTGGGTATTTTCAGTTGTAGAAGATTCACCGTTTAAGAAGAGAAGAGGATTATATCAAGGAGTTGTTTACAATGTAATCAAGAGGTTTCATTCGCAGTTATCAGAATCTGGTAAAGTAGGAAAAGAGTTAGAAGAACATGAGGCTAATAAATCGCCAAGCATTTCTTCTTCGAGGTCCGAGTTAGAGAATAGAAGACTATTTCAATCGGGAATCGACAGTGATAGCTCTGGTGATGAAGATACAGGTGATGGGAAGTGGAAACTTGACCTAGCTTGGCTCACAAAAGCCCTCGAGCCAGCTATTCAGTTGCGTAGATGGGCTCTTCCAACAGGTCTATATCATATGGTTTCTTGTTCTCGGTTTGATTCTTGGTGTATTTGTCGTACTTTTAAGCCCTGTTTTTGGCCGGTGATCGTATTGCTGAGGTGGTGTTTATATTTGTGTTTTCTCCTCAGGAGAGAAATCACTGCCTGGTAGTCGATCTCTGTCGGAGATCATTGCTAGTATTCAGAAGAGTAAGCTCGGGATTGAAGGTTGGACTCTCGGTGATCTTACAATTGGTCTCTATCTTATATACCTTAGACAAGCATCCTTGTCTCCATTTGAGGACGTCAAGGGCGTTGAAGTTGCTTCAGAAAAGACGGTAAGAACATTATTCTAGTCATTGTCATGTAGATAACTTCTTTTTTATCAATTTATAAGTAGCTTTATTGTTTTATCAGGTTAATGATCTCATATACAACGCGGAGTTAGCGAAAGGTTGTTACCGGGATAGTGTGACTGGTCTTGCAAAGAACACGATGCTTCGAGAGAATAACATTCTTAAATTTGTGAAAGATTCAAGTGTTATGAGGCCTGGTTATTACGTAGGAGTTGATCATCGCAGGAAACTTGTTGTCTTTGGAATACGCGGGACACATACCATTTATGATCTTATCACTGACATTGTCTCTTCAAGCGATGAAGAGGTCACTTTTGAAGGCTACTCAACACACTTTGGAACTGCTGAATCTGCACGATGGTTCCTTAATCACGAATTACAAACTATAAGAAGGTGCTTACAGAAATACGAGGTGATGATAATAATCATTGTTGTTCCTCATTTCTTTTGTTTGTGAGACATGAGAAGGATGGATTTACATTGTAATAAACAATCCATAGGGATACAAGTTAAGGCTTGTTGGTCATTCTCTCGGCGGCGCTATAGCTTCTTTAATGGCAATTATGCTCAGGAAAATGCCGCGGGAGGAATTGGGATTCGACGCTGGAATTATTTCAGCCGTTGGGTTTGCGACACCTCCTTGTGTTTCCAAAGAGCTCGCAGAGAATTGCTCTGAGTTTGTGACAACTATTGTTATGCAGGTCAGAACAAAAAAAATCCCTCATTTCTTGATCAAGTTTTGCGGAGATTACTCTCTCTTCTTGGAACTCACATAATTTCCGCCAATTTCAGGATGATATTATACCTAGACTAAGTACAGCTTCTCTAGCGAGATTGAGGGATGAAATCCTTCAGACTGATTGGTAAGCAAACACTTTTCTTCCTGAAACTTCATCACCCTTTTCAATCAGTTTGTTTACCGCCGTGATTTGTAAATCCAGGACAAGTGTATTCGAGAAGGAAGAATGGAAGAGTGTAATAGATTTGGTAACAAACGCAAAGCAAGTTGTCTCCTCTGTGCAAGACGTAGCACGAAAAGTTTCTGAATATGCAAAATTCGGAAACAAGGAAGAATATCCTGGTAACTACTACTTGAACACGATATTCTTTTGCCTAATCCTGAGTATCACTAGAAGACTTGTATGCTTATTAACGCTTCATTAATCTCATCTTTCTTGATTCTTGCACAGAAATCCCGTCATCCAAGAATGACCGGTCTGATTCTTTAATCTCTGAATCTACAACTAAAGATGTTGTAAAATTGCCAGAGGAGTTATATGTACCAGGCGCAGTTTACTATCTGATGAGGAACCTAAGAGGAAACCCGAAAAACCCATCAGGAAAAAAAGTAGAATACTTTGGTCTATGGAAGAGAGATCCAGGACAACATTTTCAGAGGATACTTCTCTCAGGTAATTTCATTACAGACCATAAATGTGATAGCCATTACTACGCGCTGCGAGATGTGCTCAAAGGATTTCCCGGTTTCATCGATGAAAGCATCTTTAAGAAGAGATGAAATTGAGATATATTATCTCATCTCTGGATAAAACATAATGTTAAGTTTGTCCGCAAACATTTTATGGTCTTGGAAATTATAGAAGTTTAATGGTACGTTGTTGGCTTTGATAGGTCTAATTTTATAAGTAACAAATTATAAATTATAGATATATTATCTCATCTCTGGATAAAACACTAGTGTTTGTTTGTGTTGTAACAAACTGTCATGCATAATAATACATTGTACAATTTAAACCCGATTTGGGTACCTTTCATTTTTCTTCCAATTTTTGTATGTTACATTGCATCAAGTCTTCTTGATTTTTCAGACATTATGTAGTGTCTTAAATAAAATATTAGTAGACACTTTTCTCTTAACACCGTTCCACCATGATTCTCCCATTTCTCGAGCCTTACTGTTCACTCTACTGATCCCAACAGTATTTCTAATTCAGAGGATGGATGAGAAAACAAGTTAATAATGGAGCAAACAAAATGGATAAAATATTTGATGTACAGTAGATTTAGTCACTGATTGGGAGCTACTTAATACTTTAGGCACTTAAAGAGTTGAAAGAGTGGGTTTATAGCAATGCAGAGAGACCCACATGAAAAGAAAGTGAAAGTTACGTTTTTTGCGTTTCCCTTAGCCGCCGCATTTTGTCTATTGTGTTTCTTTTGTATATATCTTTGTAAGCTAATAAATTAATCATACATTTACTTTTCCAAAGTATTTATACTCAAATTCATTTTTTCTTCAATTTCGAATTTCTCAGATGATTCTGTTATCATATTTTCTTATAATGAGGTTTCCTATTAGTATGTTGATTATATAATACTAAGCACAAGTTAAAAACAAACATTCGAGTAGACTATGCAAATAGTCGTTATATTAGTAGAGTTTGCATTTGTAAAATAAATAAATAACGAATTAGCAGTGGGTAGTGGTGGCTTATCTTTGATTTAGACAATCACATAACTTTGCTTGTACATTGAGAAATTTTTTAGTCATTGATTTTCTAAAAAATTGCTTTCAAATAATGTATATGTTAGAAACAAATAAGATGAATTCACTTCTGAAAATGATATGTATGAATTTTAAAATACGAGTAATAATTTGGCTATTACAATGGAGGTTGATAGTAAATCGGAACATGAAATAACTGGAACACTAATTATGTTTTGTTTTGTATACTTTAAGATAATGATCCATCTTTTAATTAGAAAAAATGAAATTTCCATATTTTTTTTGACGTTATATGTATAATCTAATGGTATATAGAAGTTGTTGTATACCGCAGGGACTTGCATCACTGGACCAACAATTCTATACACAATTGTTATTTCTTTAATTGCATGTTGTAAGAAAAATAATTTAAAAATATTTATTTGTCTTAAGTTAAAACTAACTTAATTGATTGTACTACGTTAACTAAACCATTCCCTTATATTGAGGTTAAGACTTTGAATTTTTGCCTCTCTTTCAAAGTAATGTACGCACGCCTAACTATTTTGTTATATGCACATAATTTTTTTTTCTTGGAAAACTTAATTAATTGAAATGTACCCATTTGACAAAAAAGGAAGAAGAAATAATTTCGCATATAAAAACCAACAACATCACTTTCACGGTTCTTTCTTGTCTATCAATTTAACCACTTTTAAACTCAATATACAACTAGTACCTTATCAATTTTAAGTATATAGATATTGATTGTACAACATGTCTAACATATATAGAGAGAGTTTTTTTTTTTTTAACAGAACTTATATAGAGAGTGCATGCATTATTATACTAAAGATGGAACATTTACTTCGGGTACCATTTGATTATAACGTTGGCAATAAACGAGAATTTCATAACAACAACAA